GGCGGTTACGGTGGCGGCTGCGGGACAAACATTGCAGCGAAGAAGCGAAAGTAACAGCGTCTAAGATGCAGGATCGAAGACCAACAATTTTTATATTCCTGTTGCGCAGACCAGTGCAAGTCTTGGACCTACACTGACACCTAGCAGCATGGATGCAAAAGTTGCCTGTTACAGATGCCATTGTAGAAATGCGCTCTTCACAATCGGTCATTATTAATCTATTCCACAAGTGAATAACTAGTCATGTGATCTCATGCACGACGTCGGCCCCCATGAGGCGACCCGCTGTATTTACATTAAAGAAACCACGAATGGTCAGCATGGATTTTATCAGCATTTTTATTCAGGCTTCATAATTTTAATTTGTTTTGTTGTCTTACTTTACCAAAACCAGAACAAACGTGGCCATCCTGAAGAGCCTCTGTCCTGCAGTTTAGCTCCAACCCTAATCAAACACACCTCAAGAAGCTAATAATGTGTTTTCAGAATTACAAAGGCTATAAGCAGGGTACTTCCCACCACTTTTAATACATCAATAAAGAGGACAGACACACAAACTGAGGTTTTTACTAGCTTTAATATTCCTGAAACGTCCATGTTGAAGAAAACAAAGTACAAAAGTGTCTGACAGTAAAAATATGAGAATGCATGGTGGGGAGGGGAGACATAAGAGAGCCCTCACTCACTAAAACAGCAGTGTCTCATACAGAACTGCGAAATTCATCTCTGAAATATCACTAATACGAAGCCAAACAAAACAGAGAAATCAGTTCATATACAAAACCACAGTTGACCAGGCAGTAAGACATGCAAGTAATACAGTCTTTCCATGAGTGAGAGAGAGAGAGCAAAAGAGAAACGAGCACGAGAGAGAGAGAGAGAGAGAGAGAGAGAGAGAAAGAAAGAGATGAATTTAGCATCTATAAAAACTGTTCAGCATATCTGACACGTTCAATTCATAACATTTCCATACATTTGTTGACAGCTCTTCTGCTTTCCTTTCAGTCAGTTTTCAGAAGTTCTGAAATGTTTTGCATATGAGATCTGAGGCTGGGTTCAGCCAGGGCTCCTGAAATGGCTCTATACAGTTATTCCTGTTTTGTAAATACATGTGATTACTAAAACCGCTGAGAATAGCCAAAGAAAATAAAACAATTATAATAATAATTAGAAATGTTTGCATATGTGACATCACCAGAATAAAAGAGAAACGAGCGCGAGAGAGAGAGAGAGAGAGAGAGAGAGAGAGAAAGAAAGAGATGAATTTAGCATCTATAAAAACTGTTCAGCATATCTGACACGTTCAATTCATAACATTTCCATACATTTGTTGACAGCTCTTCTGCTTTCCTTTCAGTCAGTTTTCAGAAGTTCTGAAATGTTTTGCATATGAGATCTGAGGCTGGGTTCAGCCAGGGCTCCTGAAATGGCTCTATACAGTTATTCCTGTTTTGTAAATACATGTGATTACTAAAACCGCTGAGAATAGCCAAAGAAAATAAAACAATTATAATAATAATTAGAAATGTTTGCATATGTGACATCACCAGAATAATAAAACACAACACAGAGAATCTGTGAGCAATGGAGGGTGAAGCTTCCTCACAGTAATGACACATCGGGGCAAGGGGTCATTGTTATGGCGTGAGGTCATTGCTATGGTAACAGCAGTGAGCTGCTGCTGCGGTCAAACTTCTTGCCTTTTGAGAGTGCAGCAACTTGTTTCATCAATTCTCTGTTCTTCGCCTGAGAGACAAACACAAACAAAACCAATTGGTGAAAAATATGAAGACTATAGACCCTTTTTCAGTTAGTAAACATGGTCAAAGTCAAAGTCTGCTTTGTCAATTCTGCCACATGTACAGCACATACATACAGAGAATTGAAGAGCTCCACTAGGACATCATGTTGCAGGCTCTCTGTGAGCCTTCTTGCACAATATCCTATGCATGGGGTGTAGTTAGGCCTCCTCTCGTTTAGAGAGTCGTCATATTATAGCCTCCGCTCCTAGAGTTTGGCAATCTACTGCAAGCCTTGTCAGGTCACCTCTCGCTACAGAGAGTTCAAAGTCAAAAGTCAAAGTCTGCTTTATTGTCAATTCTTCCACATGTACAGTACATACATACAGAGAATTTAAATTGCGTTACTCTCAGACCCTTGGTGCATACAGTTAACACTTAACACTAACAGTAGACATAATACAGATAAATACAGTTTAAAAAATATATAAAATACAACCTATACACTATATAATAAGGACATTGTGTAAAAAAAAAAAGAGATAGTGGCATAAGGCACATGGCAGTTAGAGTGCAAACCAGTGATATAAACAACTGTGAAGATATAATGTGTAGTGCAAAATGAGCTTATCAGTCTGTTAAAGTGATAAAGAGCTAAAGAGCTCATCGATGGTGCCTCTGTAGAAGGTGCACATGATGGGGGCCGGGGCTCTGGCTCTTCTCAGTTTGCGGAGGAAGTAGAGACACTGCTGTGCTTTCTTGGCCAGTGCCATTGTGACGTTTGTTTATGGGCGGAGCTTACGTGGAGGCAGAAAGATTCCCGACCGCTTCACTAACGCTAGCTAGTAAGTTTTGTTTGCTTGTTTTTTAACCAATGACTGGAGAAAATACGATTTGATCTGAATATGTAATGTCACTCACTGTCCGGGACCGCAATTGTTATTTGAAAATGTTAACTTTAACTGAAGGAACCAGATTGGCCGATGCGTTCACACTCACTCAATGGATGGACGATCTGACAGGAGTGGCCTGACACACCTACCAGATAGAGAAACCTAGCGTGTATAGTAAATAGAAACTGAGGGCAAATAAATCTTTAGATGCCTATAACTATGTACAAACAGTGGCAATTGTAAGCAAATGCAACTACTTGAACACACACCTGACACATAACATGGGCCTTCACTGTTCCCTCTCACAATTGCATTTATGGCAATTGTAGAAAGCGAGATGACACAAACGGTTTCCTTTACAGTATCTCACAGAAGCAAATTTACACTGTTATACAAGCTGTACACTCACTACTTTACATTGTAGCAAAGTGTCATTTCTTCAGTGTTGTTACATGAAAAGATATAATAAAATATTTACAAAAATGTGAGGGGTGTACTCACTTCTGTGAGATACTGTATGTTTAGGTGCTAGTCGTTAGTTAACTTGTTCCCCAATTTCTGATTAGGTGGGCATGCATGAGAAATCTTAAGACTCGTAACCAAACCATAATCCATAAAAGACAAGAGTTTATTTAGGGTGTATTCACACCTGTCTTGTTTGGTTCGATTGAATCGAACTCAAGTTCGTTTCCCCTCTTGGTGCGGACCTTTTTGGCAGGTGTGAATACAGCAAGCGCACTCGGGTGCGGACCAAACAACCGTACCGAGACCCAGCTGAAGATCTTTACGGATTACATAATGAAAGAGTTTTTTTGGATTTGAATTATTTCGTTTTGTGGTCATTTAAAGCTTTCTATAGATATATTCATCATCTGTAAGGAAAATATTCGTTATTGGTTCATTTTTGTGAAGTGCTCCTGTTCAACACCGAGAAGGCAAGCGCATCCTATTTGTTTTCTTTATTTGACAAAAGCACAACGTTTTGTTGATATTGTGCGTGCACACAAATAGACCCTTTACAGTTCCGAATGATGTATTATTCTTACCTGTATGAGCAAAAATGACAGCACATTTGTTTCCACTGATGTCCTGAAGCGCGCTTCAGCTTCCACTCTCCGCACAAACGATTGGATATGCGCCTAATAGTGCACATTTATCTAGGTTAAATGTTTAAACTAGCACTGTGATATGCTTTAAGTATTTTATCTATAGATTTTATTTTCGGCAAGTCGTACTTACGATACTTATCGTATGACATTGTCTCATATGATGCTCATAAGTTTTTTCATATTGCATTATTATCTGATAACACCAAAGGGTCTATAGTTCAAAAGTTTGCACTCAGTAAGATTTTTTTTTTTAATAAATATATACTTACTACTGCAAGAATGCATGAAATTGATCAAAATTGAATTGATAAGTTTCAAACAAATGCTGTTTTATAACTTTCTATTCAAAGAACCAAAACAAAAAAAAAGAATTGTGGTTTCCACAAAAATATTAAACAGCAAAACTGTTTATATAAATGTTTCTTGAGCAGCAAATCAGCATATTAGAATGATTTATGAGGACGTAATACTGAAGACTGGAGTAATGGCTGCTGAAAATTCAGCTTTACCATCAAACAAATAAATTACATTTTAAAACCTATTCAAATAGAAATCTGTTATTTAAAATAGTAATATTATTTCACAATATTAGTAATTTTACTGTATTTTTGAACAATGTAGTCTTGGTGAGCACAAGAGACTTCTTTCAAAAACACTAAAAACAAATCAAAGCAACCCCAAAACTTAAGAACGGTAATTTCTCAAAGTGCTCATCAAAACACTAACAGACATTTCCCACAGCATGAAAATAATAAAAAATATTGTTGACTTGTTCTTATTACCACTTGAATTATGAATTCTAACGTGTGATGAAGAGTGTACTGTGTAAGTGACCTGTTGTTGTTCCATGGCCTCTTTGTGCGCTTTCTCCATGTTGTTCATTTTCACCCGCATATTTGACTCCTGATACTGAAAGTCTGCTTTCAGCTCCGTCAGCTGGAACAGTAAACAAAGTTATGAAATAATCTTTTCAAAATATACATTTTTCCAAAGTTGTCAAAAGACAATTGTCACACAAATGCAAACCCAAATCCACATCAATGAAATCTTTATATCTTTACTTTAGGGATGTAACGATTACCGGTTTGACTATAAATCATGATAAAATTCCCCACGGTTAGTATTACAGTTTCATATTTTAATTATCATTAAAACCGTATTAGATTACCGCGATTTGAACAACTCATGATAAATAAATACTGTCCAGCATAAAGCAGTTTTAAGTAACAGTCTCACGTGCGCACAGCATGCAGAGTAGTTTCGTTTTGAGTGAAAACAGGGCGGAAAAGCTGGGAGGTTTTAAAAGAGTGCTAAGGGAATTATACAAATGAATATATGAATGAATTAATTATATGAATGTACCTATGAAGGTTCTGACTGTCTTCAGAAACTTTAAATAAAATACATATAATCATTTATTAAACAATTATCATTTTGACTTATATCTTTTCTTTATTTAAAGGCCGAAATGTGAGGTTTACCTTTTTATGAAACTTTTTCAAAGCTTTATTTGAACATTTACATTAGATATTTCAACATGCTATTAAACTGTTGTCTGTCAAGTTGTCATTTAAAATCCGAACATCATTGGCAATGTTATTGTTTTAGTGATTATGCAAACAAAAGTGATTTATGTGTCAATACTTTTTGAACATCTCCAGCACATTTTAACAATACCGTGATAATTTTGGTCACTATAATCGTGATAAGAAATTTTCATATCGTTACTCCCTACTTTTACTTATGGACTTCTAATAACAGCTCAAGCATTTGAGCATAATTATGACATCGGGCAGGAAATGGACTGTGAAGTGAATGGCTGATCAGACAACGGAATGGAGCTCAGAGAGACAAGTCTATTAATGTGTTAATGAACACATTTATGCATCCATCAATATCTATGTACTATTTTCAGCATCTGCTTTCAGAGTTTGTCCTTTATGAAAATATGAGGACCGTTTGAGTCACATGATTCTGATTCAGTGAGTCCTACTGTAGCCCGAAAGAGCTGCAGCTACAAAATGTGAACATTCCATGTGCATGTTGCACCAAAGCCAGGAAGTAACATCACAAGTTACCTTCCTGTCTTTCTCAAGGATGGTCTGGTCTCTCTGCTGGAGCATGCGCTTCAATGACATCACTTCCTCTTTCAGTTGACTGATCAAGATGAAGTTATCCGTGCCTCCAGAATCCATCGACTGAGTGATTGAACTACTGGAGGGAAAGAAAAAGAAATGCATTTAATATTTAAGGAGAGAATTTGTCAGCCAGTCTGGATGGACAGAGACAGACAGATAGAGAGACGATTACAGTGAGAAGTAAATACCTGTCTCCATTGGATGGCTTTGTCTCTAGTTTGGGTTTTTTCTTTGGCGTTTCCTTCTGAATGCTACACAAGAGAAGCGAATTAGAGTCAATACACCTTAACACAATCTCACAGCATGGACAAAACACACTGGTCATCCTAAATATTAAACTACAGTCAAATACAAATGGCATGCCACCTATGTGTATGTAAAAACAAATGCATCTCACCTCTGCTTCCACAGTCCCTGATCCTGCTCTGGACTTAAAGTACCACTTATTCTGTAACACATCCACGGGACAGCATTTTTGTAAGGATTTTCAATAAACAAGTCTGTATTCTTGTGACTGGACGCCGATGCACTTTGGTTGCTTGTATCTGTATTATATCATTCATGCTTACTTGTGATGCGAACTTCCATGTCTGTGGTGCTGATGGTGATGATGGTGTCTCTGATGTTCTTTCTCACTGAGGGAAGAGGAGTTAGAGTGGGAAGAGCCAAGGCCTTTCCGCTGCTCTTTCGTTTTTTGTAGAACACGGCGATATGAGAGCGTGCAGAGCCAACACAAGAGCTTCCCATCCACCTGCAGAAAGATATAATTGACATCTGCATTAAGTGTGCTCAGTCTTATTTTAGTATTATTTATACAATATTATAGTATTTCATGTTTTGAATTAATTCTTATTTGTATTTATTTTTTCTGTCATTATTTACTCACCCTCAAGTTGTTCCAAAACTGTAGGAGTTTCTTTCTTCTGTTGAAAACAAAAGAACATTTTTAAGAAAGTTGGTAACCAAACAGTTGCCGGTAGCCATTGACTTCCATAGTGTGGAAAAAAAAAAATATGGAAGTCAATGGCTAACGGCAACTGTTTGGTTGCCAACATTTTTCAAAATATCTTCTTTGGTTTGGAACAACTTGAGGGTGTGTTAATGACAGAATTTTCATTTTTGGATGAGCAAACGGGTGCTGCAAAAGTTCAGCTAAAGCCCAAAGTATGCAATGGTCCACGCGATTTTAATCATTAAAAGTGTCCGCACGCAGCCTAATTTTTGTGACTGTGTGGACAGTCTGCATACAACAGCGCAGGAGCGAGGTAAATGTTGGGACAGAACGAGTCTACTAGCTGGTACTGTGCATGTGTCGAACTTGTCCATATACGCGATTGAGTATAATTTGAAATCTGCGAGGACGTGGCTATGTGCGAGATGGAACGGAAAGTGAAGTATACCTGGGCTTTTAGTGTTCTTCTCAGATTTTCAGCACATCTCAGATATTCAGCAAGCCGTTTTAGCTTAAAATATTCCCAGCGTTACTAGTCGTAATTGCATTTTTACTAGTAACAATTCAATTAGAGAGCTCTACAGTTAAATTCTTACTAGTAACAATGCCAATTAGAGAGCTCTCTAAATACATTTTTACTAGATACAATTTCAATTAGAGAGCTCTGCAATTGCATTCTTACTAGTAAGAACTGAATTAGAGAGCTCTGCTATTGCATTCTTACTAGTAAGAACTGAATTAGAGAGCTCTAGAGAAGCGAATTAGAGTCAATACACCTTAACACAATCTCACAGCATGGACAAAACACACTGGTCATCCTAAATATTAAACTACAGTCAAATACAAATGGCATGCCACCTATGTGTATGTAAAAACAAATGCATCTCACCTCTGCTTCCACAGTCCCTGATCCTGCTCTGGACTTAAAGTACCACTTATTCTGAAACACATCCACGGGACAGCATTTTTGTAAGGATTTTCAATAAACAAGTCTGTATTCTTGTGACTGGACGCCGATGCACTTTGGTTGCTTGTATCTGTATTATATCATTCATGCTTACTTGTGATGCGAACTTCCATGTCTGTGGTGCTGATGGTGATGATGGTGTCTCTGATGTTCTTTCTCACTGAGGGAAGAGGAGTTAGAGTGGGAAGAGCCAAGGCCTTTCCGCTGCTCTTTCGTTTTTAGTAGAACACGGCGATATGAGAGCGTGCAGAGCCAACACAAGAGCTTCCCATCCACCTGCAGAAAGATATAATTGACATCTGCATTAAGTGTGCTCAGTCTTATTTTAGTATTATTTATACAATATTATAGTATTTCATGTTTTGAATTAATTCTTATTTGTATTTATTTTTTCTGTCATTATTTACTCACCCTCAAGTTGTTCCAAAACTGTAGGAGTTTCTTTCTTCTGTTGAAAACAAAAGAACATTTTTAAGAAAGTTGGTAACCCCGGTAGCCACGGTAGCCATTGACTTCCATAGTGTGGAAAAAAAAAAATATGGAAGTCAATGGCTAACGGGGTTGCCAACGTTGCCAACATTTTTCAAAATATCTTCTTTGGTTTGGAACAACTTGAGGGTGTGTTAATGACAGAATTTTCATTTTTGGGTGAGCAAACGGGTGCTGCAAAAGTTCAGCTAAAGCCCAAAGTATGCAATGGTCCACGCGATTTTAATCATTAAAAGTGTCCGCACGCAGCCTAATTTTTGTGACTGTGTGGACAGTCTGCATACAACAGCGCAGGAGCGAGGTAAATGTTGGGACAGAACGAGTCTACTAGCTGGTACTGTGCATGTGTCGAACTTGTCCATATACGCGATTGAGTATAATTTGAAATCTGCGAGGACGTGGCTATGTGCGAGATGGAACGGAAAGTGAAGTATACCTGGGCTTTTAGTGTTCTTCTCAGATTTTCAGCACATCTCAGATATTCAGCAAGCCGTTTTAGCTTAAAATATTCCCAGCGTTACTAGTCGTAATTGCATTTTTACTAGTAACAATTCAATTAGAGAGCTCTACAGTTAAATTCTTACTAGTAACAATGCCAATTAGAGAGCTCTCTAAATACATTTTTACTAGATACAATTTCAATTAGAGAGCTCTGCAATTGCATTCTTACTAGTAAGAACTGAATTAGAGAGCTCTGCTATTGCATTCTTACTAGTAAGAACTGAATTAGAGAGCTCTCTAATTCAGTTCTTACTAGTAACAATTGAATTAGAGAGCTCTCTAATTGAATTAGATATCTGCAATTACATTCTTACTAGTAAGAATTCAATTAGAGAGCTCTACAATTCAATTCCTACTAAAAAGAATTACAATTGCAGAGCTCTTTAATGCAATTTTTATTAGTAATAATTGATTTAGAGAGCTCTCTAATTGAATTGTTACTAGTAAAAATGCAATTACGACGAGTAACGCTGGGAATATTTTAAGCTAAAACGGCTTGCTATAAAGCACTGTCATTTTCAATAATCCCATTACAACAGAAAATCAAGACAAAGAATAGTGCTAAATGAAAAAAACAAAAACAGTGCTGTCTTGGTTGCTTGCATAAAGTCAAAACTGCAGCTGTGGGCTACAATCAAATTCAGGATGCGAGCATAACATCTACATGGTGTGAATCTTTTAAAGGTGAAGAGAATTTCTGCACCACTAGCATCGCCAAATGGATTTGCATTTGAATTATGTTTTCAAACAGGTTGTCCTATAAAAAAATAATAATAATTATCTCATATTTTTACTGCCTTACAGACATAATGGCAAGCGTTTCCACTACTATTCCACTATACACAAACAATGCAATACCTTGCTGATAATAAATCAGTAAAGCTGGCTGATCAGTGGGAGGAGTGAGCTTTAATGATTCAGCTCTGTGTTGTTTCTAAACCAACAGCAGTTGTATGCAACTTGTCCAGTAATTAATGACAGACATGATTGAGCGTTTGATGCTGAACAGAACTCTAAGCTCTTGCCTTCAATGTGTTAAAATCTGAAAACAGTGACTCTCCAATCTGTCAGAGCGGAGTGAATCACATCACACACGTAGTGTGAGAGAACACAGCCAGAGTGTGTGGATGAGCAATAAGACTGAATAAGAAGTGCATGAGTGATTGGTCACCTTTCTCCTTCCCTCGTCCTTCCTGTCGAAGGCACACTGCTGCTTGCACTGTTCGCAGGTCTGTGGAGGGCCGTACTTCTTCTCAGAGTTGGTGCAGCGCTGACATTTGGTCCCAATGAATGCAGCAATAATGTTACAGTACTGACATGGCTTTGGCTGAAATTGTTTTAAAAAAAATACGCGTTAGCGCACACATCCGTGGGATTTCCAGTTATTTGAAGATACATACTGTCATGTGAATTTACCGTCCCAAACTGTTTGACATTCTGTGCACATTTCTTACAGATAGTGTTGGTTTTGCTGAGAAAAAGAAAGATTTCCATTAGAACAGATGTTTTACGAGCCAATGTGGCTGGTGGGCAAAGAATTATTTTCCCATCCCTGGTTGTGTATCTGTCGTACCTCTCCTGCTGAAACTCTGACCTGCAGTAGGTGCATTTCACTATAGGGTGTGCGATCCGACACTCCTGCAAGGAAGAAAATACCAATGACACGGGATTAACTTTAAATGTGATTCCTCCAGCATGGTGCTTAGATGAGTGTTCTGTGTATGTAGGTGTATACATACAGGCCACATAGAATCTAACAAGGGCAGTGCAGCTTATTACAATTACATGTATGACTGATGGACTGTATTTTAAAACATAAACGGGTTAAAACACCAGCAGTGGTGTATTAGCTTAAACATAATGTCTGAATGCTTCTGTAGTTCACAATTAACGCGTACACAACTCGCTAGGACACATACATTTACTCCAGACTCTTTAGACGCATGTAAACAGTACGTGCATGTGCGCTCTCACCTTGCAGAGCTGCTGGCCCTGCGACAACTCCTCAAACGGGAACCGCTGGTTACACTTGGTGCAGGCGTACAGGGCCGATGTGGCCATCACCAACCCCACAAACACAGTTACCGCTACTGATAAAATATAAACACACTTACGCGCAGACGACCTTTAACACATGCGATAAAGTGAGACCTGAGCAGATTCAATCCCAATTAAAACGGCACTTAATCCCGACAAATAAAATGGATCCAACCATTTAAAACTGCTCTGCGAATACTATTATAAAAAACATCAGTGGCTTAAACTCATGATTTGAACAACATATAAACTAATACGTAAAAAGAATAACTAAAAAACTGATTTAATTTCTCCGTTTTTCGGCTCCTGGTGAGAATTTTTGCTTTCTCCTTTTTGTATCTCAGTCGTCGGCTCACGAACCGGATGCGACCTGTGACTACAAAGGAAAGACTCAACAGCCAATCAGGTGCCAGCGCCGATGGGCGGGAACAATGGGTTTGAAAAATCTGCACCAATCAAAGAGCTCGTCCCGCCTCTCTAAGAAAACTACGCATTGTTTATTTGTGACGTGTTTGTGATGTAGAGATCTCACCCTTTCTTGTGCATTCGTGTGAAACTGGAAAGAGTACGACTGTTATGGCTCCATTATGGCTCAGACGGGAAATGTGAATTTTCCTTGTAGAGTCTCTAGAGCAAAACTAAACAGAAAAGGTGACAGAATGGTGTATATCAGAAGCTATAGCCCCCATGAGGAATGTAGAGAACGTAGTTGTATTCTAGAAATAATTGTAGTAATTGTATAATTACAGTTGTACGAATTACAGTGGTGATATTCAAGGAATCTTTAATATGATTACTAGTGATTTCCGGCAGGATAATCCCCATTTAAGTTACTTAGAGCTGTAAAAAGAACAGAAAAGATGAACAAGAAAAAAATAAAAATTTCAGCAGGCATATATGTCAGATTCCAATAAATAGTTAGATAACACTACTATACACTCTTTTTTTTTTTTTTTTTATTTTACCCTCAACTATTTTTAACCATAATTTTCATAAGGATTGTGTTCTTGTAGTTAAAGGGTACTCTGCTCACTGCATTTAGTGTTCACTTTCAAGGCTCTCACATGAACATGATGCATCCAGACTATTTGTAAGAAATGCACATTCTGTAGTAACTAAACTAAACAGAATACCTGATTTTTATTATTATTATTTTAAATTTTACATAATTTACTTACTTTTCAATCGTTCAAACTGGACATTGGACAGCAAATGCCACAACGAAACATATAAAAACTATTCGTTTTTATAAAGATTTTCATCTAAATGTCTAATTCAATTTATCACCACATTTCATCGCAGTTAGCCTCACTGTATTTACTTTTTTTTTTTTTTTTGTATTTTACCCTCAACTATTTTTAACCATAATTTTCATAAGGATTGTGTTCTTGTAGTTAAAGGGTACTCTGCTCACTGCATTTAGTGTTCACTTTCAAGGCTCTCACATGAACATGATGCATCCAGACTATTTGTAAGAAATGCACATTCTGTAGTAACTAAACTAAACAGAATACCTGATTTTTATTATTATTATTTTAAATTTTACATAATTTACTTACTTTTCAATCGTTCAAACTGGACATTGGACAGCAAATGCCACAACGAAACATATAAAAACTATTCGTTTTTATAAAGATTTTCATCTAAATGTCTAATTCAATTTATCACCACATTTCATCGCAGTTAGCCTCACTGTATTTAGTATTTGCTCCTGACACGTTTTCTACACTGTTCTACATGTAAATCGACAAACATTTAAATTACTATATGAATTACTATATTACTATATAAATACTAAAGAAAAAAATTGATAGCCATACTAAACATTGGTGCTACCCGCCATAAAACCGAAGAAGAAGAAGATAGCCATACTGCTAAAATCATTTTTTTAATAATAGATCAGTTAGTGCGTCACTCTATGCAAAATCAACGCGACTCGCGTTCTGTAACGCACTTTTGTGTGCGCCTGATTAAAAAAAAGATGGCGGATCACTCGGTAAGTAAACAGACAGTTGGTTCTTATGTAGTTTTAGTGGCTATTTAAATTACATTTGTTCAGTCTTTGTTGTTCGATGTCATTTATAATCGCGTTATGTCCTCATAGGTTGAGATCACCGAGGGCTGTCGACTTCCCGTGCTGCGAAAAAATCAAGAAAATGAAGACGAATGGCGTAAGTATCAGCCTGACAGCAGCGTATAGAATGTACACATAACACTAGCAGCTTCTCTGCATTACTCAGCGCTCATGTGTACAAAAGTAGCTACATGTGAATATAAGAATAAACATATCTATCTATCTATCTATCTATATAGTAGTATATATATATATATATATATATATATATATATTATATATAAGTAGATATTTAAGGATATAACTGTTTGCTTGACCAAAAGTGATTCATAATTTTGTCCCTTCATAGCTTTCGCTGAAATTCTCAGTGTCAAAGACATCCATGGGAAAAAGCTTTACTATGTCCACTATATTGACTGTGAGTATTAATTATTAGCTTTGGTCTTTGGTAAATAATTTGGTCACTTACCTCATTACATGATTCCCTTTATTCAGCCTTTAATTTCAAAGAAAAAAAAAACTAAATTTTTTTGTTTGTTGGAAGTCAATAAGCGCCTGGACGAGTGGGTTACTCCAGACCGGCTGGATATTAAGAAGCTCCAATTTCCCAAGAAGGAGGCAAAGACTCCCATGAAGGATGGCCTGCCTGGGTCTAGGCCGAGCTCCCCAGAGAGAGACGTGGTAGGAGAATCCACTCTTCACCCTGTGACTCTAGACTTAGAAACAGCACTCCCCCACTTCAGTGGCAGAGATATACAGTATATCATATGCAGCTGTTTTCAAATTTGCATCCTGTTCAGTCTCTCACTTTCTGTTCAAATTTAGAAGAAGAGTCTAGATCTCCATGTTCAGTCTGCTTCAGCTACTTCAAGAGGCAAAACCCTCCCCACACCGGTACAGACGATCCCTGCCCATTCTTTTTTGCCAATCAATCTGCACAGCAAGAGTTTATGATGAATGGGCTGAATTAAAGACTAATTTGAATAAGCTCATTATACACTTTTCAAACAGTGTGAGGGATGCAGTTTTTGCCTCGTCTCGATTTAAACTGCACATAGCATTTAGAACCTTTTATGTGATGTGTAAATTAAAGATATTTATTGCAAAATAATTATAGCATTGTAAAAGGAATTACATAAGATTAAATCTTTGAAAGATGCAAAGTTATAATGTACATCTAAAATACTAGATATATTTTTAGTATTTATTGCACAGGGAACTAAAAAAAAGATGTTTTGTTACTCCTAAAGCAAGTCTATTCATTTTGCAAACTGTATGTAAAATCTCCTAATACAGCCAGACCACATTAATCAGAACATTCTCATGACTCCTTATTTATTTCATGAGGTAAGTGGCAGAAGTTTACTCATGGTTATGTTTTTAGGTATGATGAATTTTAGAGAACTTTTTAAATTTTACCTTTTAAAGAACATTGCACTCACTTTTTATGCAGAGAAAAACTAGCTGTCCTGTTTCTGTTTGGTCTTACAGAAAAGGAAAGCAGAGTCAGTCTCTTTGGCAACACAAGTGACCGCAGCGACTCCAGTGCCTTCACTTCCTGGTTCTGCGGAGGCGAGTCAGGCCTCTGTCTATCCCACAATGAGAGATTCCTCTTTCAGCATTAAATCCAGAGATGAACATGAACCACTCACCTCTCTCACTACAGTAAGAAATGACTGTGTTTGAAACAATTCGAGAATAGTTTGTCTCTTCTATATATATATATATATATTTCTTTATTGATTGATTGATTTATTTTTTAAATTAATTATATAGTATTTTTTTAAATATCATTTTAAAAATCAAACCTTTCTTTATTTCCTTTGCTTCTTCCTCCTGGAAGAATGGCACAACCTCCATCCAGCGTCATCTTATTCCTCCTCTGCCTGGGAGAAAAAGAAAAAGTTGTGGAGGGACAGACGAGGTATGTCCTGCAGATAAAAATGCTCGTTCTCAAAATCAACATGTCATGAATATACCATGACAATGGTCCTGTAAGATGTTAAGCAACTGTTAAAATTAGGATTGTGACATTTTAGGGCACTTCTATTATTTTTATCTCATGAAGGTACTTTGCTATACTATTATTTAACTATAGTACTATAGTTACACTGAACAAAATTATAAACGCAACACTTTTGTTTTTGCCCCCATTTTTCATGAGCTGAACTCAAAGATCTAAGACTTTTTCTATATACACAAAAGGCCTATTTCTCTCAAATATTGTTCACAAATCTGTCTAAATCTGTGTTAGTGAGCACTTCTCCTTTGCCGAGATAATCCATCCACCTCACAGGTGTGGCATATCAAGATGCTGATTAGGGATTATCTCGGCAAAGGAGAAGTGCTCACTAACACAGATTTAGACAGATTTGTGAACAATATTTGAGAGAAATAGGCCTTTTGTGTACATAGAAAAAGTCTTAGATCTTTGAGTTCAGCTCATGAAAAATGGGGGCAAAAACAAAAGTGTTGCGTTTATATTTTTGTTCAGTGTATATAGGTGAAATATTGTGTTATACAAGTTCTGTGCTATGCAAACAGTTATATTAGAAACCAACACTGACTACTAGTGAGAGCAGAGTGAGAACTGCGTTCCAACCAAAACTAAATGACCAACCAAAAAACCAGATGTTTTCCAATGAAATTCTGGTTTCTGCTCTACTATGACTTACCTTCCTCCATTCAAATTTCCCAAAGCTTTGCAACCCCTTGTGTTTTTCTAGATGGTAAAGATGTTCCAGAATAACAGCCCTCGCTGCTCCACCATCTATTTGCTGCCAGGAGAGGTCCGGCTCCTTTACTTCCCATTGCTTTTGCTTTGGTTTGAGTGTCTTGTCAGAATGGAGGCTTATGGCTGTTAAAGAATCAGGTTCTAGATAGGATTCTGTAAATGAAATAATAGAGTCCATTGCACTGAATACATAATATTTTTGGAAAGAAATCAGGTAAACCTGCCATAAAAAAAAAAAAAAACGTTTACATGAAACCCACAAACATGTTTTAAATATGAAGAACATTCACATGTTTTGATGGTTCATATTATTCTCGCCGACTCTACTCTTATCTCAGGACTCTCAGGACAGTTCAGATGGAATCCCATCTGCCCCACGCATGACTGGTAGTTTGGTGTCAGACCGCAGTCATGATGACATTGTGACGCGAATGAAGAACATAGACTGTATTGAGCTGGGCCGGCACAGACTGAAGCCTTGGTACTTCTCTCCATACCCACAGGAGCTCACCTCTCTGCTCATTCTCTACCTCTGTGAATTCTGTCTCAAATACCTCAAGAGCCTCAAATGTCTTCAAAGACACCTGGTAAGACTAGTTTGAAGACTTTAGGCTTAAGGTGTGGTCACATAAGCAAAATTAAACAGGCATCGTCCATTGTCAGTAGTAAAGCTATGCATGAGGCACATCACACACTGAAGTCACATTTAATTTGGTCAATGCAGCGAATTTGTGTGACCAACTTGAACACCATCAAAATCTGCTTGGAGAACATTTTCACCCTCATGCAGAACTCTTGATTGCACGGATTCCTATTGAAAATTTGCAATGGTAAATGTGACTACATCCTTAAAAACATGTTATAGTTACACATATTTTGTGTATAATTGGTATTACATTTAATACAATTATTACTCCTGTAACTTTTAAAGACGAAATGCAACCTTCGGCATCCACCAGGAAATGAGATCTACCGCAAAGGAACCATCTCCTTTTTCGAAATAGATGGCAGAAAAAACAAGGTGTGTAATAA